GTAGAGCTGGGGGCAGCTAGGAGATAAAGAGATAAGGGGGAGGGGCCTAGGGCTTCAAAGAGAGAGTTATTTCACAGGAAAGACTTCTATCTGGGTTTAGCAGATAGGAGGTGCCCTCCTGTGCTTAGTTTTTCATAGAAACACCCCCTCTCTCAGTTGGAATTTGCACTAGCTTCCCAAAATCTGTATGAAACTTTATAATTTTTCCAGTTTTTACCTAGAATTTGCATAGGGACCCTTAGAGGTCATAATATTGAATTTAACCAGAAAATACAGAGTTATCAGGGGTCACAGTAATAGTGTAGCCCGGTCGAGGCTGTGGAGTCAGTATATGCCGCGGAGTTGGCTGAGCTATGCCAACATGGTCGGGATGACCGGGCGATGACTGGGCGGTCACGTGTCTCTCAGGATCAGCTCAGCCATGACCCAAACACCACTCCCCCAGTTCTGAGGTCATGGAATGAAGTGTTCGGTTGAGGTGTAGTGTGGTAGGACGCTTTGTTCCTCGGTTGAGAAACTCCAAGTTGAAGTCTGGTTGAGCGTCTGGTCCACTTGGTGTTCCTTGGTGCTTGCCAAAATTTGGGGTCCACGCAATGTGGGCTATGGTTGAGAAGTCCTATAATCGTCGGCTGCAGAACTCCAAGAATTTTAGGTTCGAAATCCAAACACCACTCCCCTAGTTTTGGAGCTGAGGAGGGGGAGTGCTCGACAGAGGTGTTGCACGGTCATTTATCCCGGAAAGGCACCGTGGTGTTGAGTTGATCTTCAAGGTTTGGATCTTCTTGATGCTCAGTGGCATTGTGCCAAGGAAGGGCTCTTCGTTCCTCGGTTGCAATGCTGCATGGTCGTTTAGCTCGACCAAGTGCCGAGGTGGAGTTAAGCTTCGAAGTCGGGGCCTCTTTGATGCTCGACAATGCTACGCCAAGGATGGTGTCGAGATCCGAAGTCGGAGCCTCTTAGATGCTCGACAATGCTGCGTCGAGGAAGGTGCCAAGCTCCAAAGCTGGGGCCTCTATGATGCTCGACAATGTTGCACCGGGGAAGGGCTCTCCGTTCTTTGGCTGAGGAATTTGTTCTTGAAATTTTGGAATCCAAACACCACTCCCCCAGTTCATAAGTCGAAGAGTGGAGTGCTCAGTTGAGGCACAACGCGACCTCTTTTGGTTGGTGTTCATTGCTCAATGTCTTGAGGAGACCCGAGAAGCTGATTGGACCGGTGGTCCTGGGAGAACCTCAGGCATACGTGAAATTGGTTGGACTGGCACTTCAGGGCAGACCAGAGCAATTATTGCCCTTACCGTTACTTGTTAAGATCATCACTTCGGTTCTAGAGGCCTTGCGCGTGTGGTGACAGTTGCGTCGATTGGTCTTCCAGAGATTTGTCAGAGCGGTGTTTGATCCCCACCGTTGATCTGGCTTCGATTCGCACTCTTGTGGGTTATAAGAAGGGGTGGATGGGCATTTCTCCTTTGCCATTTGTTAGAGGGATTTCTTAGATAGCTCGGCGAAGGGTTGTTGCGTTGCTTGGCTTTGGCTTTTTGGTTCCGTAGCTTCAAGTTTGGTAAGATATCTTTCTTATCTTCCCGTTCATCTTCTTCCTCTTCTGGTTCATTGTCGAGTTCTAGCGGTTTTGATTATGAGTCTGAGGTCGGGGATTTTGAGGCTGCCTAGGTTGTGGATGCCGAGGTTGGTCCCTCTAGGGTAGAAGTAGAGCGTCCCTTGCGGGCTGGTCATCGGTTTGGAACCACCCCTGCGTTTTGACCCCTGGGGATATGGCTTGAATCCGAGCTATGTACGACATCCCCGAGGAGTTTGGGATGTGGTGTCCGTAACCCTGTGAGATCCCAACGGGTGCTCGACCATGCAAGGTATGCGTGTACGGGAGCAGTTTGGAAGCTAGGCTGAGGTTTCCTCTAAATGAAGGGATCGTCGGGGTGTTTGGATGGTACCGAGTATTGTCGGTGCAGATGATGCCGAATTCCTTTAGATTTTTGTTCGGCCTTATGTCTTACTGTGCGGTATGTGATATCGAGTTGACCCTTGGTATGGTGAGCTTCCTCCTTCAGTTGAAACATCACTAGTAGGGCTACTATTACTTCTCGACTAGGAAGAATATCAAGCTGTTGGTTGGGGCCCCCTCTTCTATGAAACATTGGAAGGAGACCTTCTTCCTGCATTGTCCCAGGGGCCTCCCCTTCTCGGCTGTGTTGCAGCCGCCGTCGACGAGAGTGTTGCAGCCTTAGTGGTCTACGCTCACCTAGGAGGAGAGGTCGGCCCTGAGCATGATCGGTGAGATAGACGTGATGGCGTACACTTGCTCTGAGATGTTGATGCTCACCGGGTTGATTAACAGGGTGGCCGATTTGTTCTTTTTGTTGCTTCGGTTTACTTGTCAAATCCCCTTTCTCCTCCTCTCTCTCTGTTTTTTTTTTTTTTTTTTTTTTTTTTTTTATCTTGTTCTTACTGTTGCAATTCTGCGGTGCAAGTGTGAAATGACGAATGAGGAGGAGATTGTCTGTCGGATGAAGGAGAACCAGTAGAGTCTGAACTGGGCTGCCTCATAATCGCAAGGTCGTTTGGAGGTGGTTCCCCTGCTGAGGTGCTTGGGATAGAGTTGTATTCCCCTGCAGAGTTGTCATCCTCTCTCTTCTTATCCACAGTTGTGCTCATTTGCGTGACATGTAACTGACGTGGCTGAGAAGATAAGACGGGGGGCCATGGTAATAGCGTAGTCTGGTCGAGGCCGTGGAGTCAGTATACTCCGCGGAGTTGACCGAGCTATGTCGACATGGCCGGGATGACCGAACGATGACTGGGCGGCCATGTGTCTCCCAGGACCAACTCAGCCATGACCCGAACAACTACAATGATCGCACCAAGCTTGGAACAACCCGTGTCGTGCTGCGCTGTTCCAATCTGCGAGCGGCTTGGCTCACTTTACTGCTATACTTATACCTCATCCCAACTTTTGACCTATCTAGCTAGGTTGTTGCAATGGAAAAGGATAGAACCCGTATCTTGAACCTGATCTACATCCGAAATCGAGGTTTGATTTCATTTCGGAATTGTTGCCTCCCATTTAGAGACTAGATGAACGAGATGATTTGGATTTTAAAATTCAACTGCTATCCCAATGGCATCTCCTACAATCACCTGCACCAGAATCAGGGAGAGGGTGCCCATCGGTGAACTATTTCGGTCTCTCTGGGCCACTGCTTTAGGCCAACGGGAGGCGTACCACCGCCAGTAGCTCTCATGGTTGTGACACCATCACTACTTCCCTATATAGCTTTCTTCTATGCCATCGTCGTCCGAAGCGTTGCCTTGGCCTCAAATTAAAGCCACTACACCATCACTACTTCCTGCAATTCAGTTAACAGAACATCTTCGATTGTTCTTTACTTTGGTTGATGTTCTTTACATAAAGCTTAGCTTTTAGTTGGAACAATGAATCAGGAGATTCAGGATAACAGTTTCTCGCCACTGAGACCCCAACACGTTGTTATATGTCGTCTGGGCAGTCTTTTTTTCTCTATCATTTCTAGGATTTTGGATTCTTCAAAATGAGTGCAAGTGCAGTAATTCCGGTGCAGGAGATCCGGCATTACTCTGGCTGCCACGTCAAATTGTTTCTTGCATGAGAGAGACGGCACTCTTACTGTACATTCATGGGTTGTAAGAAATAGAGAACGTCCAAATGTCAATAAAGCAGCTAGTAAGGTAATAAGTCTTTTCAAAATGTAAGCTTTAATGGAGCCATTAATTAGCTTAGCGGGAGTCTTAATTCTTAATGATAATTTGGTCAAGCTAGATCTCATATTCTCATTTACAACCGACTACGGCAAAGTGTCCAGGGGAGTTAGAATTCATATTTCATAGCTAGCTACTTATACGTGCAGCTTACTCCCCCTACATATCACGTGTACAATTTGTTATTAATTAAACTATATTAATATATTGAATTAAGATTCAATCAAACAATGCCCAAAAAAAGAAGAAATTCAACCAAACAATTTAATTGGGTACTTGTATAGAGTATTAAATAGATGAATTCCAAAAGCCAAAAGCACAAAACCCTAATTAGAGGTTTTATGCATGGGCCTTAAAAGTACTTAAGCTTATAAGAAAGCAACTCTTATCAAACACTTTTAGGTTCGATTTTGTTTTTCACAGCAGAAAGCTGAGAAGCAAGAGGCTTGATTATCCAAACGAGTAATTCGTGATGTTATATATTGCTAAATGACGGATTATAGCAGTGCGGGATATTCATCCCCCATCCATGAATAATACATTTACGGGGTTTTTCTTTTTTTGGATTTTGAGAGAGAGAAAAGTTGGTTAATGGGATTTTGGTTCTTATTGATCAAGAATCTCATGCTCTTTTTCTAACTTTATGTGGGGACCATGAAAAATAACACTTACTCAGGAAAGTGATACCCATTTCTTAGGTGGATAAATAATTTTTCCACATAGGGGAAAGTTGCCAATACTTGAATGAGACAAAAATGCCCTTTTAATAATAGATTTCTATGACTAAAATAGTCAACATGAGAAACAAAAAAATATGGATAAATGTACTTACTCGGGTAAATGTTTTCTAAAAAAAACTTATCCAACTAATCATGTTTACCCGAAAAAATTATTTACCCAAAAACGAACGAGACCTTAATTTTCTAGTTTTCAATTCTTTTGTTGTTTGATTGTTTGAACAGAAGAGTGATAACTACGTAGATTGTATCCAGGGATGGCACATTGGTTGAATTACTCGTGGCCGGGACTGTCTTTGCCATTACGGTTCTGGATATTCAAGTCCTCAATGTCAACGCTCTATCAATGTTACGTAATGTAACTTAATTAATGATGAAGTACTCCCATAAAACGACTAAAACACAACTTGCATTTAAACAAATTCAAGGAACGCGTCCACTACTTCCATGAAAAGCCTATAAATAATGATTCTTGAGGTGATCAATAAGACAGTTTTTCTGATAATTGGAAGCTTTAACTTTTGCTGAAAGCTCAGCATAAGCTTCCTGCAGATACCTCTGCAACATTCTATTACATATTTCTAGTTTTTGGTTCTTACCGCTAAGTTTCTCATGGCTGCTGCAAACCACCGTGCACCCCTAAAGCCCCCCAAAGACGGAGATCTAATTACAGTTCTTAGCATAGATGGAGGTGGTATAAGAGGAATCATCCCTGCTGTTATTCTCAAGTTCTTGGAAGAGAGATTACAGGTACATAAAACACACATATAGTTATTAAGGGTTGTTTTTTGAATGGTTTTGATCCTTTTTTTATTTATTTTTATTAAAATGGGCAGATCATTCGGTTCAAACTGTCAAACCGTTTGACCCGGAAACTGGACCCCTAACTGATTCGTTCTCCGAATCGATTTTGAAAACTTTGGTAATAAAATTATATTGTTTTCTCTCCAATTGGTGCAGGAAGTAGATGGAAAAGATGCGAGAATCGCAGACTATTTTGACGTGATTGCTGGAACAAGCACAGGTGGTCTGATTAGTGCAATGTTAACGGCACCAGATAAAGAGAAACGCCCTAAACTCCCTGCTAAAGAAATCAAGGACTTCTACTTGAAAAATAGCCCCAAAATCTTCCCACAATTCTGGTATTATTATTATTATTATTATTATTATTATTATTATTATTATTATTCTAATGTCTATTGTCTTATGCAACATACAAGGCCCTTTAGTTTTGTAAAGTATATCAGAGCAATGTTTGGCCCTATGTACGATGGCAAGTATCTCCACCGAATTATTGAGGATAATCTTGGAGAAATAATGCTGGGGCAGACATTGACGAATGTGGTTATTCCAACTTTTGATATCAAAATCCTCCAACCAACCATTTTCACTAGCTTTCAGGTTATTTCTCTCTCTCTCTCTATATATATATGCCAGTTGGGCCACGTGGTATCAATTCCAAGTCAAACTATTTTTTAGTTACATATTATTAAATATATTTGTGGTTATTCCAACTTTTGATATCAAAATCCTCCAACCAACCATTTTCAATAGCTTTCAGGTTATTTCTCTCTCTACCAGTTGGGCCACGTGGTATCAATTCCAAGTCAAACTATTAAATGACGGATTATAACAGTGCGGGAATATTCTCTCTCTCTCCATCTTAATTAGCATTATTCCCGAGTTTTGTATTGTCTAATAAATTTAAAAACAAAAAATAGGGAGATGGAGTTAGTTTTTTATTAAGCTAAAATTTAAAAACATTCTTTTATTTTAATTAATAAAATAACTTTTCCTACGTTTGTTAACTAGTTTCATTGTTTTTTGTCATTGTTTTCAAAACCGGATAAGACCGGATGGTCGAACTAGAAAAACCGGGTACCGGTCACCCTTTTTCCCCCAAATTCATTTTTTTCCCCAAAACCGTTGATTTTGGTCAGTAAACCATTGAACCGGCCGGTTAATTGTTCGAATGATTTTGACCATTTTCCAATTTTTTAATTTTTTTTAAATATTTTTATTTTTTGTCAGAAAGGGCCCTGTTCGGGTCGAACTATCGGACCATTCGAACCAATAACCAGACCCCTAACCAGTTTGATCTCTGATTCGTTTTTAAAAACCATGTTTTTGGTTATCTACATAACGTCACAATACACTCTCGGCGTTACACGTGACATGATGGAGGGTATTTTAGTAATATAATATCTGCAAGTATAATGACCAAAATGGCCCATTGTTTCTGCTTGAAACAAGGGTGCAGCTTGGACGGAATATTGGTTGGCCCATAACCAACACTAATATTAGACCTCCAGTTGGGTCCCAAGTTTACCGACTGGCTCAGGTCGGTTTCATTGGGCCTAGATGACTTAATCAAGTTTGAAAATTTTTTTTAATATGTTTTTGTAAGTACTATTTATTGAAACCCCATTTGGTGCATCTTTCTGTGTAGTCTTTTGGCTGTTTACAAGTTGGAAAGACCGGAAATTGATTTATTCCCATTAGGCACATGGAAGATTTCATCGCCAAAAGACAGGGTGCCGAAAAGATGCGGGAAGCTCTAAATGAAGCTTCCCGCATCTTCTGCGTTTTAATCTCACGCGGAAAGATCTGAAATGATGCACGAAAAGATGCTTATCTGCCAAACGGTCTTCAAGCAACCCAGATCTTATGTCAAAAACTCAATACATCTATAGACGGTTAAAACTACAAAAGGATCTCAAAAAAATTTGCCAAACGGACCCTAAGTTAATTGCCTAATTTAACTACAAGTGAAATGGATTGAAAATATGCACAAATGCCATCAATAAATGTATGTATGCATGATTTATGTATATGTGTATATATAACCAAAAAAAATTAATACAAATAAAAATGAATTACATGGTTGCATTGTACATGTTTGTGCTATTGTGCATGGGATAGCATTTAGGCTAATCATAAACATATAGTAAATGACTAATATATACTCCACGATGTATATCGTAAATATTTCTGATAAAAAACATGCAATATACAAATCGTCATAGGTGTATATCATATGAATTAAGCCAAACCTGATTTTTTCTGGTCCTGGCCCATCATAGAGCCCGAAAACTCAAACCCGGCCCATATAAAACCTTGGGCTGGGTCGTGTTGGAGTCAATTGGGCTGGCCCAAATTCCAGCTCTAATTTGAACCAATCAGATGTGCTGGAGATCACAGAGTGGATAAATATTAGTTGTTGAACACAAGTTTCATTCAGTAATAATCCAAATTCCAAATCATTATGAGAGGATTAATTAGGTAACATGAAATCTTGCATTGACGCAGCAACAATAGCAGTCGGATTTTCATTATGCTTGGTGTTTTCATTGTGCAGTTCCAGAGAGAGAATAAGTTAGAGGAAACCCCAAACTTGAATGTTAAACTCAAGGATATCTGTATTGCCACCTCCGCTGCACCAGTCTTTCTGCCTCCCCATCATTTCTCTGTCAATGACTCTGAACCTAACAAAGATTCCGAAAAGCAAGGGAAAACGGAATTTCACCTCGTCGATGGTGGTGTAGCTGCTAACAACCCAGTATGAATCTCCATGCATCCATCCTCTGAGATCTTAAATAGTGGTGTGTCTTGACTATAAAGAGTATAAACATCTAAACTGACTAACAATGGTGGCAATTAATTGTTTCAGGTTATGGTTACCTTGAGCGAGGTTGTCAAGAGATATCCACATATTTTGCGTCCTGTGGGTCAAAATAATAGAGGTTCTTCGGGTTCAAATGAGGAAACTGATCAGGATTCAGAACCAAGAGACAATGGGGGAGTTTTAGTTATTTCTCTGGGGACTGGGTCAGGAATGAGTGAGGCGAAATACAGTGCTGATAATCCATTTGAATGGGGAGGATTTTCTTGGTTATTCAAGCGTAAATCAATTCCACTAGTAGATGTATTTACTCAAGCCAGTGCAGACATGGTGGATGTCCAACTTGCAAACATTCTTGAAGCTCTTAATGTTGAATACAACTATCTCCGAATTCAGGTATACATTAATTCTTGTAGTCTTTTTGAATTACTCCACTTGATCTCTATTTTTTCTTCCATAATGAAAAACTGATAATGGTCGATCCTGAATCAAAACAAAACAGCCTAGGAGTGAGGAATTAGTGGGAGATTTATCTTCTGCTGACATCGCGACCCATAAAAACTTGATGGGACTTGTTAGGGTTGGCGAAAAGTTGCTGGGAGAAAAAGTCTCGAGGGTGAATTTGCTAACTGGTCAGCTGGAGGAAATAAGACAGTATACTAATGGCGAAGCACTTGAGAAGTATGAACTTGAAACCTATAATTGCTTCAGAAATCTACCACAATACATATATTACAGATTTGCTTATTGATGTTCTTTACACTTACAGGTTTGCAAAAGTACTTTTAGAAAACCGGAAAAAACGTGGAGAACGGGTTGATGGCTAAGGATACAGCCAGCCTTGGATTAATTTCACTGCACTACCAGCCAATAGATTGAGTAATCTTTGTGTATATTTTGTTGTTTCTTGTTTTCATTTCTCGTTTGTTTATGAATGTATTTGCATATCTCACCTATGAATTTAAGGAAATATCTTGATTCCTCAAATGAAGAATGTGGTGTTATGGTTCATGGCTTGGTCGGTCTTTTAGGAAGAATTTGTCTAATAATTACTTCTCTTTTATATTTATTTAATTGGTCTTCTTTAAAATATGGAAAGCTGCTAATTGGCTTTTGGCTTCTCAGGTTAGGGCCCGTTTGTATGGGCTCAAGCTTTGGTTCAAACTACTTTCACTAAGCTGCTGCTTTGGAGAAGTCACCCAGTTCAATGATAAGCCGCTCTTATCAAAAAAAAAAAAAAAAAATCAATGACAAGCCACTTTAATTTTCTGCTCAAAGACAGCAGATCTGGGCTTAATGCCTGTTTTGGAAGAATTTCCCATAATGAATTTTGGCTTTGTGAGGTGGGCCCCACTTCTAGAGCCTATAAGAAATATTTGTTGAAAAGCCTAGAAACTCCTAGTAGTTTCTCTCAAGCAACTCTTTAATCCAATGAGTTTATGCTTTTTCACTTTTATTATTTGTGAAATATTAGATATATCCATCCGTGACTTCTACATTCTCCAAACCCTTGCAAACCTTTCTATTCGTTGTATTATAAGCTAAGGGCAAATAAGCTGGGCTAAGGCAATAATCAGACACTAGATGAAATGCCTTCTTTATACTCAAGCGTCGTAAATGAAGACAATATCTCAAATTATCCTTTGTCTTTCCCCCAATACTCAAAAGCATTCCTAATAAATTATCACATACATTTATTTTTCTCTATGTGCATCAATGTAGATTGTAATGTAACAACAAGCATTGCCAATATGGCAAGTCAAAGAGTATGTTTTTTTCTTCTTTGAATTCAATTTCTCATTGGAGGTATAATTCTTCTTTCCATTCTTCTCACCAACATTTTCATCATTTTGTTAGTAGTGTTTCTCTTCTTTCTCTTTCTTTTCCTCTCACCTACAATTTCATCATTTTGCCTACGGGTGCTTCTCTTCTTTTAATTTAATTTATCATTTGAGGTATCACTTCTTTCTGTTCCTCCCATTAACAACTTCATCCTTTTTCAAATATAGGTGCAATCCTCTACTCTTTATTCCTATCAAATGATGTTTTATCACTTCGAAACTTATGACGTTCATAAAAAATTTGATGATGCTCCATATAACAAAATTTGTGGTTATGCTTTAATTTTAATGAATAGGTATCTTCATTAGATGAAGGGGCATGACAATTTTCCTTTGATGCTCCATCCTTAGAAGTTTGCTTAGATAGGAAAATCATTGATAGTCCAAAGATCGAACAACTACAACAACTACACCTATTCAGAACATTTCATTCTTTAGTCCATCATACTTGTGTATGTCATGCTCCATGCAGAGTTCAAGCAATTCATTTGTTAAGGGTTGTAAGAATACATCAAATTCATTTCCTGGTGCATGTGGTCCAAGAATAAGCAATAGCATCATCATATAAGGTTGCTTCATGTATATGCATAGGGGAAAATTATGTATCATTATACAATAGGCCATGTGATACAAGTAGAAGTCATTATTCCAAATGGACTAAATCTATCAGTTGCCAACCTAATTTTAACATTATGTGTATCTATAGCAAATGGTGGATGAATACTGTCAAAGGTTTTCCATGTTGGAGAGCCAGCAAGATGCCTTAATACCCAATCCTTAATTCTCCCTTCATCATGCTATCCCATGAAAGATAAAGTTTTTGATGGTGTGAATAGTCTTTGTAGCCTTAGTATGAGGAGCAAGTGGCAATAAATTATACTATAAAATCTGTATATGTTAGAAGTTTCATTAATTTTACATGATAATAGTTTTAGGAAATGAAACCTATGCTTGGAACTAGATACAAAAACATATTGAAAGCATATTAACTGGATAATGTTACCTGTGTGTGTAGGATCTATAGGAAATGGAAATAGCTACTTCCTTAGCTATGTGCCTATATCATTTTCTGAATCTAGTTATTATTGGTTCTTGTTTCGACTAATCAACCTTTGAAAGGCGATACCCATGTGTCCACAATTCTATTTTTATATTTCAAGACATTGATATCATTCAACTTCACAAATAATATATTTTAATAGGCTGATGTTCTTTCAAAGGAACCTTTACTTTTAGTTATCAACATCGGATTTTTGCTCGATGTTGCTTGAACCCCAATTAACATCATACTCTGGATTAAATTTTTCCGATCTCTTCAAAACACCTAAAACCCAAAAGAAAACATGAATTTCACTCTGAGAACCCTCAAATCCATTGTTAAACCTACCCAATACCTATCCAATGGTCCCAATCAATTCTCACTTACACCTCAACCATTAGATCAGACACATCCACTAGACGTAGGACCTCCCAAAACACCTACCCATGAAATTTAAACTCAAGATTCCTTTATTTACCCCCTCATCAAACGAAGATTTCATTTCAACTAGGGGTGCAAGTCGGGCAGGTTGGGTTGGGTTATGGTCAACCCAGGCCCAACCCTAAAATTTGGGTTTAAGGCTCGAACTTGAGGTCAAGCCCGATTTTCCCAACTTGAGCCTAGCCCGCCCTATAATTTGAGACACTCAGGTTGGGATCGAGCTCGGGCCAAGCTTGAGTTGGTCAATGAACCCACTCTAAAATTATAAATATATAAATGTACTTATGCAAATATATATACAAATGTTATATATACAAATATGTATGTATACACACACATGTATAAATGTATATAATTGGGTCAGGCTCGCGCCAAGTTCGGGCTACCTAAGGGATAGGCCTGAGCTCGACCCAAAAGAAAAAAACCGACTTCTTGAGCCTGAGCCCAGCCCGAGGACCGAAAATCCAAGCCTAACCCATGTAAAATTCCGGGTTGGGCCGGTTCGGGCTCAGGTTGGGCCCGCCCAAGTTGCATCCTTAATTTCAACCTCTCTCGTTAGCTTAAACACTCAGAACCCAGATCCCCTTGATCTTAACACATTCAAACCGATCAAACCATACCATTAAACTCTGAATCTCAACCCCAAATTCCCCTATTTGCCCTTCCATCAAATCCAGATTCCATTCTACATCATCCTGTTGACCTAAATTCCTACAATCTTGACCCTCAAAGACTAATCAAACATCACCATCATATCTCGGACACCTCCAAGTACTCACCCATAAAATTTCAGCCCAAAATACCTTTGTTTACCCCTCCATCGCACCTAGATTCCATTTCAAGGCTCTAGATTGATTGGATTCCAGATCTGCTCGATCCAAGCCCAATTATCCCAATCTAACCTTATCAGTCATCTCAGACTACACAAAATCCCTACCCTGTGAAGTTTCACCCAAAACTACCTCTATTTGGCCCTCGATCACACAAAGATTCTATTTCGATGTTCTAGATTGACCGAATCAAGCCCTTACCAGATCTGCCCAATCCGAACCCAGTTGGCCCAATCCAACCTTGCCAATCAATTCAAAATGTCCGAAAACCCCACCCTTTGAAATTTCAGCTAGGAGTACCCTCATTTACCCTTTCATCTAAAAGATTTCATTTTGGCCAATCTCATAAGCCTGCACTTGCATGACCCCACTCCATGGTCAAATCCAATTCAACCCTCTATTTGTCGGTTGGACCTATTTTCTCAAAATTATCAAAATACCCCTTAAATTTCTAAAAAATACAAAACTACCCCTAACCCATTATAAAATAAAAACTAAGTTTTTAATTTAGTGGAATCGACTATTCACCTCCTCCCTCATTCGAATGCGGGCAGCATCTACGACAACCTTCTCCGACCCCATCTCTAGCCTTCCCTCTCCTCTCTTTCTCTTCCTACCTCTTATTTCTTCTTCTTCTTCTTCCCGTTTCCTCCTTTTTTTTTCTTTTTTTGGTCGCCGCTGCAATTCTTGGCTGTGGCAAACCACCTTCTCTAGGCCATTTCTCCTCACCCCTCCCAGCCATTCTCTCACTCTCTCTTCTTCTTCTTCTTCTCCACCATATTCTTCGTCTTCTTCTTTCTCTGCTTTCATTGGCCACCGTCGAAAGTGTGTGCATGCTTTCTATGTGACATATTTTTATGATGATGGTGATAGTAAATAATATGTTTCCAAAATTTTATATATTTTTTATATATATACTTGTAAGTGTGCACATGCTTGGTTCCTTTTTTATATATTTTTTAAACATTTTTTGAATCACATCAGGACTTGAAGGGTTGGAAGCCATCATCATCAACTTAAAATTCTTTTTGGTCAAACACATGATGATCGTTGATTCCCATGTGTTTGAGGGGGCATATTAAGGATATGGATTGAGTTTGTTATGTTACGATAGAGTATGAGATGAATTGAAATAAACTACATAGAGTCCTAGATAGAGTCTAAGAGTTGGAGTTTGAATATGTTTGGTCTGTTTTAGTCTATAAATATGATGTAATTACTATATTCAATTAATGCAATTTTTTATTAACCTTCTCTAAAATCTAACACAGATCGAGCATACTAGAACCAAACATTTAGATGATATGATTTGTAGTGACTTTTTTTTGTTATATTACATGTTTATTTATCTTTGAAGGAGCATATTTGTAGAGTGTATGTGTATTGTTTTTTTGGATGCATCCCATCAGGAGATTTACATTACTCCTTGCATTGGGATATGACAAATTAAGAACTAGTTATTTAGTAAAAAAAACGGAAAAACTAGACAACAAATTTTAAAGTTGCTGGTCTTTGTATAAAAATAAAGAGAAGTTGCCGATCTCAATCAAGAAATAGGAAGTATTGTTCACTAGAGCTGGTCTCTGTATGCTCCAATTCAAACTAGAAAACACTACATTCATTTGGACCAATTTGGAAGAAAAAAAAAAGATACTTGGAACCGGTCATGGTCATCGGTGATAATAGCCTACCAACAATGGTTGTCGGTGGGAGTACTCTGTAGTAAAAAAAAAAAAAAAAGAAAAAGAGAAACAAAGAACCCCAACATGAGAGAGAAATTTTTCAACAACCTTTTGTTCTTGGGATTTTGGGAGATTTACCTGTGTTTGGTCACTGAAATCAAGTCGTTGTGTCTATTCTTGCTGATGAGATTAATCCCCATTGGAGAGATGAAAGGCTGGATCCTGACAAGAAGAGAAAAGAGGGTTTGGGCCCTTCGTGAAGAGAAAAGAAACAGGAGAGTTTGGGCAGAAAAAGAGAAAGCAACAGAGTTTCCAGAGTCTTGTTTCGTCGGTGACTGTAGAGAGCCTTCGTATTGTCGCCAGCTAAATCACCGACTGTCAAGGAGAGCATTGCAACCGGTGGAAGGCGCTAGGGTTTCATACTTTCATTGTTGGAGAGGTAGGGGCTTTGAGCGAAAAAGAACAGAAAAATAGAAATAAGACTTGCGGTGGGGAGAATAGGGGGGAGTGGGGGGGGGGCCGAGCTACTGGAATGGAGACTAACAGCGGTTAGGCTCCCCACTTGTGTATACTAATTCACATGGTTTTGGGATGCATGGCATCATTACATTTTGTGAGGACTTTGTGAGGTGCTAGGCGGTGAGAGCAGATCCGGACTCATAGTCAAGACCCTCTAAAATTTGTATTTTATTTAAATAGAAAATTCTAAGACCAAAGAAAATAAGGACAGAAAATCTACAAATGGCATAATTAATCAAACAATAACACAATTTTGCTAAACTGATGATATTTTAGAAATAAAATTTATACATTTCATTAAGAGAACAACACGACTAATCAATTCCACTTCTTTGGTAACAAGAATAACTAAAATAAACAGTTGCACCTACTCCCATGATTTCAACCTAAAATGGAATGGTGTAACCTAGAGGGGTGAGGCCAAATTATATACTAACTTTCTAAGCCCCAAAACCCAAAACTCTTGATCATTATTTTCAACTACACAATACATCATTCCACAAGTACAAATCAACAATCCACAAATCTTTTTTGTTATTTTATTTTGTTTTATTTTTTTTAAATGTATTTAATATGTACTATTTTTTATCATCAATTAAAATAATCAAATATTGAAGAAATAAGTGCATGCCTAGATCAAAGCAAAACTCAATTGCCTAATAAATAAAATACCTAGAACAGAGTAATGATCCATGTATTTTATACTAAGATGTAGAGCCCGAGAAATATCTTACAACGATGAGGACAAAGTTTCCAATCATCTAGCCCATGGTGAATGCACATTGATGAAGGGTGATTTGGTCCTCTAATGATATCACGGCATGCGGCATTACTACGGAATTGTCCATTGGCATGCCGACACCATGCAAGCAGAACTCGGACACCTGGCATCTATCTCAACCTCCTTGGCCCCACCTCTATAGGACGACCCTACGAACAACTTAGGAGATGACAGGTCGGCATGAAGAGGCGACCTGCCTCTACCGACCTAGCCCGGATCCAATTAGTGACCAGCCCAATTTGACGAGTGACTTCCTTCTTGAGTAGGTTATTGTTTCCAATTCCCTTGTGATCACGATGGCACGTCGACGGAGCTGATCTCGGTCCTACCCACTTCGGACGAGACCAGATAAGCATATTATCAACCTACATGAAATCTGTCTCCGGGCGTGAAACCGCCTCTGAATCAGATGGGCTGGAGATCTCGGATGTGTTTTGAAGAATTCACAACAATTAGCCTATATAAAGGTGTCATCTTCCTCAAAAAAGGTACGCTCAATTTAACTCTCTAAGAATTCTAGCTCTCTAGCTTTCTTACAATCAAATACCAGTTCGCTAATTTAAGCATCAGAGTGCCCATCCGAGGTCAAGCAACTCAAATATACACTCCAATTTGTTCTTCTTGCATCTCGACTAGGTGACCTCATCAGCCTGAAATGTAGTAAAATCTTTTTGTTTTGAAGGTAAGATAAAAATTTACTAAAAGGAAAAAAGAGAGAAACACAAACAATAAACAACCAAGAACCATGCGATCCAGCCACACACTGACTAGGCTCACCACAAACCAGAAGCACAAACCAAACCCCCCATCCCTCAAAACCAAAATAAACATCAAACTGACTCAAGGAAAAAGAAAAAGTAAAAATAGAGACATTTGGTACTTCTTCAACATGGTTTAATCAATACAATTCAATCAATTAAAGATGAAGCCCTCCCAAATAGCTTAAGTTCAATGGCTTTCGGCTTTTATGGTGAACCATGCATATATGTATAATCCTTTTGGTAAAAAATATTGAGAGCCCAAGTCACTTGCCACTCGGCTATGTTTGAGCTGTCCATTTCTACGTTCTTACATGGTTTATTTAGAGCACTTCAAAGCCGCAGAACCAGCTTATAGAACGTACTCAACAAAAAGAAAAAGTAAAAGTAGAGACTTTTGGTACTTCTTCAACATGTTTTAATCAATACAATTCAATCAATCAAAGCTGAAGCCCTCCCAAATAGCTTAATTTCAATGGCTTTCGGCTTTTATGGTGAACCATGCATATATGTATAATCCTTTTGGTAAAAAATATTGAGAGCCCAAGTCACCTGCCACTCGGCTATATTTGAGCTGTCCACTTCTACGTCCTTACATGGTTTATTTAGAGCACTTCAAAGCCGCTGAACCAGCTTATAGAACTACAATCCAGGAACAAAAGTAAAATTATAATACCAAAAGATATTAACTGATACTAAGGAGCAAAGAAGATAAGTGGGAAAATAATACTTCTTGATGTGAATTCAATAGGTTACAACCTATTTATAATAAAGCTAAGGATACAACCAGAGAACAGGTCAGCAACCTAAATTGGAATACAAAAAGGAAAGAAAAAATATGTACAGTAATTGGAGTGGAACTATATCTCCTAGAATTAATGGGATAAAGATAGATACAATACTAAAACTGATGGAATACGCTAACATCCCCCTCAAACTCAAGATGGTAATGTATTAGTCATCTGGAGTTTGCCAACTAGAGTACGAAAGCGAAGAGGAGAGTGAGCTTTGATAAATATATTTGTAGACTGATCCTGGGAAGGGACAGGAATAAGGCAAATAGTACCCTTGAGCACATGATGATGAATGAAGTGACAATCAGTCTCAATATGCTTAGTGCGCTCATGAAATACATCATTGTGGGCAATCTGTATGGCGTTACAATTGTCACAGTAAAGAGAGGTTGCAGATGAATGAGTAATTCCCAAGTCATGGAGTAACCATCGTAACCATAACAGCTCGGAGATAGTGTCAGCAAGAGCTCGATATTCAGCTTCAGTATTGGAGCCAGAGACAACCGTTTGCTTCTTACTACGCTAAGATATAAGAGAATCGCCAAGAAAGAAGCAATAACCAGTAGTGGAGCGTCTGTCAGTAGGATCACTGGCCCAATCAGCATTAGAATATGTGATCAAATGAAGAGAGGAAGAACTGGAGTAGTGAAGTCCATGAAACAAAGTGCCCTTGACATAACGGATGATGTGAAGCACAACAGCATAATGAGTAGTGCGAGGGGTAGACATGAACTGACTCACAATATGGACAACATATGCAATATTAGAATGAGTAATCGTAAGGTATACAAGACTGCCAACTAGTTGCCGATATAAGGTGCAGTCACTGAGAGGAGTACCAATAGTGGCTGAAAAATGGGCATTAGGCTCAATCGGAGTGTTAACAGTCTTAGTATCAGTGAGTCCGGCACGAGAAACAAGATCAGTGGCATACTTGGCTTGAGACAGATAATATCCTGATTGGTCGGAGGAGACTTCAATGCCTAAGAAATAATTTAGTCGACCAAGATCTTTCATTTCAAACTGTTTGCTGAGAAAAGTCTTAAGAGCATAAATGCCCTACAAATCATCACCAGTAATGATCATGTCATCCACATAAATGAGGAGAAGTACACAACCTTGAGAGGTCTTACGAATGAACGAGGTATGATCATGAGTGCTAGACTGAAAACCAAACTGACAAACAATAGAGCTGAATTTGGAGAACCATGCTCGAGGCGCTTGCTTAAGTCCATATAGAGCCTCACGGAGACGACAAACCTGATTAGGGAGATGATCATAACCAGGAGGGGGCTACATATAAATCTCTTCAGAAAGATCTCCATTGAGAAAAGCATTCTTAACATCCATCTGAAATAGCTGCCAATGCTTAGCTACAGCAATCACAATAAGACTGCGAACAGAAGTGAGACGGGCTACTGGGGCAAAAGTCTCATCATAATCAATGCCATACTCCTGTGCAAACCCTTTTGCTACCAATCTAGCTTTATACCTTTCAACTGAACCATCTACCCGAATCTTGATTTTGTAGACCCATTTACAACCAATCATGGATTTATCGGAAGGCAGGTCAACTAAATCCCAAGTATGAGTGCTTGTAAGAGCTTGGATTTATTCAGCCATTGCTTTCTGCCATAGAGGGTCAATACTAGCCTCGCGATAGGTACGAGGCTCATAAAAAGAAACAATGGTAGAGTAACAATGAAAATCACGAAGAAGAAGAATGGAAGGTTTACTGACCCTACTAGAACGACGGAGTGGAGCATCAGAATGATCAGGGTCTAATTCAGCAAGAGGAATCAAGAGCTCAGAAGAAGGCAGAGCTAGAGAATCCATAGCCAAGGTAGATGCATCAGGAGAGGTTGCAGGTTGTGCAGTACTGTTAGACCTATCAGAGGAAGAAGTAGTCGGACCTGCAAGTAAATCATCAGGAAAAAACGAAATAGTAGGATCAGTAAAAAAATATGAAGATGTCGTGGTAACTCGAAATGGGGAGAGACTTGAGAACATTTTGTGTTCCCACAAGGTAACATGACAAGATATGCGAAGTTGTTGGGAAAGAGGATCCCAACACCGATATCCTTTATGTTCAATACCATACCCGAGAAAACAACATAAACATGCTTTTGGTTCCAATTTGGTATGTTCATAAGGTTGTAATAGAACAAAACAAGCACAACCAAACACACGAAGAGACTGGTAATCAGGGCAATGGCCATACAACCGCTCATAAGGAGAAATGTTACCAATAACAGGAGAAGGAATGCGATTGATGGTATAAACAGCAGTGAGGGCTGCCTCCCCCCAAAAACGCTCAGGACAAGATGAAGAGATTAAAAGAGCTCGAATAGTATCAAGAATATGCATATGTTTTCGTTCTGCATGCCCATTTTGTTGAGAGGTGTCGGGACAAGATCTATGAATGATGGTTCCATTTTGTGAAAGAAATTGGGTAAGGATAGAATCTATATATTCCATGGCATTATCAGTGCGAAAAATTTTGATGATAGAGGAAAACTGAGTTTTGATCATGGTGACAAATTGAGTATAAATTGCAGGTAATTCAGATTTATTACGCATGAGATAAATCCATGTATATCGAGAGAAATCATCAATGAAGATCACAAAATAACGCGAACCACCCATGGTATTATGAGGCAAAAG